TTTTTTTTTTGATACGGGGGATCAAACTTGGGACCTTGCACTTGCGAGGCAGGTGGCAGCACCACTGAGCTAAATCCCAGCCCCTAGAAAGATTTTTTTTTTTTTTGGTACCAGGGATCGAACTCGGATCCTTGCGCTCGCACAGCAGGCAGCGAAACCACTGAGCTAAATCCCTAGCCCACTGGATTCTCAAGTCTTCAAATTATGAGAGCTGTGACCCAGAGCTGCCACACTGAGCTGTAAAGCTCAGCTGCACCTCAGAGCTGTGGCACTTGGCTATAGCACTGAGCTGCTCTGCAGCATTCTAATCTAGTTCATAGGTCTGAGCAAGTCCTCTAACAACCACAATGTACTCATTTGGGTTGTCTGAAAAACTTTTTTAGATCTTGTTTGTTTAATCTGTCTTAAGTCACTGAGAGGAAAGGACATATAAACTCAAGTAGTCCTGTATTTTCCATTTATTCCTTACTTCCTGTAAGGGATACTGTCTTTGAGGGGCCTCAAAAAATTAGCTAAGGACGGGTGTAGTCCCATAGAGGTTTTAATTATGGCTACCCTAGAAACCCCACCCTTAGCAACCAAAGTGAAGGGTGACTATGGGACTTGGTAACATTGTCACTAACTGCAATCCTGTCTTCTATACCTGATATTCTATCTTCACATTCACTCAATCTGCTGTGAATACTTTCAATTGAGTTTTTAATCTCTTGAATATTTGTTCGAATCTGTTTCATGGATTCCATTTCTTTCCTATGTTGGGCATTCATGGTTTCCATTTCTTTCCCATGCTGGGCATTCATAGCTTCCATCATGGGCCTAAGCTCATCTATTTTTTTTTTTTATCTGTTTCTGCTCTAGAGTCTAGAATTCTATTCTAGAATCATGTCTTTCATTCTGCTCACCATCTCTGTAGTTATCTGGGAAATTATTTGTTTTGAATTTTTCTAGAGCCTCATTCATCTGTTTTATTACTTCCTGTGCTATCAGTTCAGGGTGTCCAGGTGGCTGATCATCAGATTTTTTTCCACCTCATTTCCCCCAGAATTTGCCTTTGGTGAGCTGGAAGTCTGGGTTTGCGCCTGGCGTAAATGTCTTCTCATTTCTAAGTTTGTTGTTGGTGCTGTTTTTTGGTTTAATTCCTGGGCTGATAATTCAATACTGCTTATTGAATCTTTATTACTTGTGTTTAGAGCCCTTATGGAGTGACTGCTTCTCAGAGATATCTTCCAGGTTATAGCTGGTCTTTTTAGGCTTTGAGTCTCTAATGACTCAGGCAATCTTGTTTTCAGTATACCAGAGAGGACAACTGATTAGATCAATCATGACACCTTAGCCCAGTTGCTACAATCAGCAACAACAACAGCATCAAACACAGCTTAGAAAATAACAATATGTGGTAGCAATTAGTCTGTCACCTTTAAC